TATAATATCAGTTAAAATAAGTGCTTCAACATAGTTAACATTGCTGGAGGTATGCACAAATATTGATAGATGTCTTGTAATGCACTATTGAGGAACCTGCGACCCAAGTTTTTCATTCAATGCAGAACTACACCATAGTTGTGTGGGCCTATATGATATGTCAATAAACCTTAGAAAATCTTGAAAGGGATGTGCAAAATAGTCATTATATACAGTCTTTAATTAACTATTAGTAGAGAATAACGAGTAATGAATATACTTTATAGGGATCCTATTAATATCTAATAATAAAAATAATGAAATTCAATAACATGCTTTAACCACTAGGTGTCCCTTTATATCAGCTGTGCACCTTTGTGGTGTAAATACAGCCTATCTACCAATTGGATCAAATATAAAAGTCAGCCGAATTAGTGTTGATACTGCAAGGAGACGTATTGTGTGAAAAGAAATGTAAGATGTTGTTTAATGGCTGATATATTTATGATCCACGTCACGTTTTCAGTTCCTCATGTTTGTCTATAAGTCTTCTCATCAGGGCTCTATAAATACAGAACTACGGCAGATATGTAATATTTAATGCAGCCGAACCGTGTATTACAATGCCGTTATGTGATGACTTTCAAAGAGAAAAGCAAGCACACTCGGAATAAAGTATTATTTTATTTTTTAAAAAGTTTTCGGTCTGTTTCCGGTATTTGTTAATGACGATGTGCTGTGAGATGTGAGACTGAAATTCCACAGGGGAAAATAACGTAGGCTATCTGTAGATGCGAATTTTGTTAAACTAATATGTTTGCGCTGTGGACCAACACTATACATTGACGGGGAAGGGGGTAGCAATAAAGATAACACCATTAAACAGTTACACAACATAACAGAAATAATATCGATAGCAGCGTCCCTAGCAACCACCTTGGTAACAATGAAAACGTCGCGATTTCCTGAAGTAATCTTCGTAATAACTAGCAAACTAAAGATCATGGACATCCACTGCACACATAATCTGAAATAACAACTCATATTTCTCGCATCAAATGACATCAAAACGCATTTTAATGGCCAAACTAACTTTAAAATTGGCATTTTCCACCGAGAATAAAACGAAGTTCGGCCATGTTTTCTTTTCTGCAGGGAGAAATTTGAAGATCACGTGACATAGACGCCAGCCATTGGAATGAATAGTGAAAAAAACGGGGTTTGAAAACAGAGCACATGGTGTAGTCCAAACGATAGCTGGGGATTCTGGGTAGTGTAGTGTCTTCTGCCATCCTTTACTCCAAAAAATATTTGTTTCTCCGAATCGAAGGGGAAAAATACAAAAGCATTGCACACAATTTAAACCAATCAATGGATCAAGGATAATCTGGTGTTTTTTAGCCAATGAGTAGTGCAGATATCACTGTAAAATCAATCGACAGTAAGAGGAATACTTACTTCCGGGTGTACAATTCTCCGTTATCCAATGGGAATGGACGCTCACATTGCCTTTAAGGGCAGCCGACACAAACGAATGCCGTGCTTCCATGAGCGTCAAATCCCGCCGCAGATGGGAATACATTGCAATCAGTTGAAAGCTATTTGCGTCACTTTATGACGCTGAAGGAGCCTAGGAGCGTCACAACTGGACGCCAGGGACACTGACCAAACGTCGCTCCTGGACGCTTAGGGAGTGAGAGTGTGTTGGCTCATCTGGTCTTCAACCTTCCAAAATGTTCCCACACCACGCCGCTCCTCCGCTCCCTTCACTGGCTTCCGGTAACTGCTAGAATCCACTTCAAGACACTGGTACTTGCGTACCATGCTGCGAATGGATCTGGCCCTTCCTACATCCAGGACATGGTTAAACTGTACACCCCAGCACGTGCACTTCGCTCTGCATCAGCCAAACGACTCGCTGCACCCTCGCTGCGAGGGGGACCCAAGTTCCCATCAGCAAAAACACGTGGGTTTGCTATCCTGGCTCCAAAATGGTGGAATGAGCTCCCCATTGACATCAGGACGGCAGAAAGCCTGCACATCTTCCGGCGCAGACTGAAAACTCATCTCTTTCGACTCCACTTCGAGCGATAGAATTACTAACAAAGAACTGCTAACAGAGCACTTATATACTAATAAAGGACTGGCTTATGTATAGCCAGTTGAGTAGCACTTGAAATGTTTGGCTCTATGAAACCTGATGTACTTATATGATTCTGTTTTCTTCAAGGTTGTGTCTTCCTGGTCGAATGTACTTATTGTAAGTCGCTTTGGATAAAAGCGTCAGCTAAATGCAATGTAATGTAATGTAATGTTACATTTGTTTGTTATCACCAAAAATGTGTTCCGTGAAAGTAAAGCAAGTTCATAATTAGATAGACATCGTGAGGTATTTATTTTCGGTACAGTTTATGTTGAAACCGTTAGAAAGAGTGGCACACTTGTTAGCCTGTTCCATTCTTCTTCGTTTTCCGAAGCCGTGGCTTGGAAGCATACTTGCTTCGTTTCTGAAGGAAGTGACTTGGAAGTACGCGACTACCAAGCCAGCATCCTCGCGATTGAGAAACGGCCTCAATGTCGAGGAAGGCTCCTCCAGAGCCACTATTTCAAGGATGCTACGTCATCGAATCCCGCCGAAGGACTGTTCCAATGTCCAGGATCCTTGGAATTCTACCGAGGACTGAATCCTTCGTTGCGGGAAATTTCGAGGATGCACCAGTGTATCCTCGCGGACTTCAAATCCCCACAATGCTTTGCGCACGGACCAATTTCCAAAATCTTTGGCGGATAATGTAAGGTCGGGGCCTCTCATATGACACACACCTGCACACTTGCTAGCCTGTTCCATTCTTCGTTCTCCGAATGCCAGGAAGGATTCTTGCCTAAAATTGCCTTGGACCTGACTCGGAAGACATGTCCTACCAAGGAAGCGTCCTTGACATTGAGAAACAAAGTGTGACTTTGGTGATCCTCTGATAATGTATCTAGCACCATAATAAGGGAACAGTTAAAAAGTATTTGGTTGATAATCAAATATCTGTAATATCTGACTTAATGACATTCCTATGAGCCTTTCCTGTAATTGCTGTTTTGCATTTTTAGCAAGTGTAGTCGAGAAGGGGGTAAGTTGAGCCAGTGGGTAAATTGAACCACCCCCTGTAACCAGGCAACGCCTTATAGTTGTAATCAAGTGACCAGAAATTATGCAAGCTCCACCCATTTCTCATTGCCCGTGAAAGAGAGATGCTCATTGTGGTCTGGTTGTAAGTAAACATTTTTACAAAAAAACGTTTTTTGCTTGTCAAAGTACATTTTCTAGATGTCAGCTATATCGGCTGTCACGTCAAAAAATAATTATCCAGGTTTAAACACATATATTGTATATATTGATGTGTTGGCAGCGTATTAAACCAAGTGAATCATTAAGCTAAAGATGACTATTTTTTCTAAAATGGTGGCTATGGGGTAAAGTGAACCATGGGCCTTGGGGTAAATTGAGCCAGTTTTTCAATGGAGAAATTAATGAAAGTAGGCCAAGTTGATAAGAGCTCATTGTAGGCTACATTTAGAGTTGAATTTACCCTGTGTTTGATTGGTAAGATGTATGAAATTGTATCACCATTTGTATGATTACTTTTCCTTTTAACAATCAATTCAATCGAAATTTATATTAAAAATATTTGAAAAACTAAACTTGTATTTGGTTTGTTATTTATTGTTTATAGTTACCTTTAAGATTTGTTGTTGGTATGCCCAGGTTTGAACAGGTATGCCCAGGTTTGAACAGTGGTTCAATTTACCCCCTGACCTGGATCAACTTACCCCTACACTGGGGCAAGTTGAGCCACAAGACCACTTTTTCATTAGAAGTAATATTTTCACTGCCCTTGATCAAATATGAATTCTTATCATTGCCATTGATAGGAGACATCCTGAATTATAGGTGTGTGTTTTCATTTTTACTATGTGTCATTTCTCCTTGCTTAGAGGACAGCATAACAAAAAAAATGGCTTAACTTACCCCACTCTCCCCTAAGCATGTTACCGAACTCTGAAGATGGTGAACCTGTTAGCACTGTCATATTGAGCGTGTTAGCATTGTCAATTTGAACTTCTCAGCATTATCCTTGAGCCAATGCCAATGATATAAAGAAGTAAATGCAGAAATTAGATAGGGTTTAGTGGAGTTCAGTGGCAGTTGATGTCCAGAGGCATTTCATTCCACAGATGGTTTGAATTTGAATTAGGGCCAGTAATATGAATTGATTGTTATTTCAATTAACTCTTAAAAACAGTAAAGTTACCAAAAACCTAAATATATTGCTTGTTTGTTCCAACAAAAAGTCAAAGAATATTCAATTTAAAATCATCTAAAACAGAAATGCAACAAATCCTAACATCTTAAAAGATGGATCCAGTTGTAAAAACAAACAGAGATCCAATTCATCCAAATTACATTTTTAACATTGGTATTGGATATTTATTTAATTGTATACTTTACTGTAAACGTATTACCAGACACATTGTATTTGTATTATTTCCAGATAACATGCAAGTTTAAGTCTCCCTGTTATAAGTAACTACGTATTTACTTGAATTAGACTAGTGCAGAGTTGGCTAACAGTTGAGCTATTTGCTATACTATATTGAGACAGTCAAAGGACAGATTGCTTCCTGTATACGTATATGACGTTGCTTCATCACCCCTTTTGGCCAAAATGGCACCACATTTGTCATGGTCACTGGGATGTTGCATTTACACATTCACTGAATTGGAATAACATGGAGTTTAGTAGATATTACTTTTTTTTAATAAAATAGGCCCTGCACAAAAATATTTAAGCAAACTTTGAGGCACTGCTATAGCAATTTTTTTTACAGACTTCTAAACTTAGTGAAATGTTTAGGTTGTTGTTGTCCCAATACAGTATGTGAAGGATGAGTATACAGACAAATGATAATCACAGACAGAGATGAATTATTTTACAGTTAAACAATGTAGATAGTAAAATACAAGATTATATAAAGGTTTATGACTGGTGCGCTTTATTAAGATGAACTGATAACTTAAGATATAGACACAATTGTACAATTTATCAATCTGTACAAAAACATAAAACCATTCATTTTGACCCCCCTCTCACATTTTAACCCTCCAAGTTCATTGAAATGACATTATTTCACTTTTAACACGTTTTCACTGGAATTACAGTCAGTATAGAATTCAATATAGTAAAAAAGAAATCAAAACACTATTTAAAATAAAAAAACACAGAACAATGGAGGTACATGAATCAGAAATCATATTTTAAATAGAAAGGAATCACTTTGTCCTCAGCTCGTTGAGTGTGGGGGGCTCGGCTGGCGGCGCCGTCTGTTCTATGAAACGCCATTGGCACCGCCAGCCAGGCTCACAAACTCCGGAGCTGCACATCCACCCTCAGCCTCTAAACACACACACAAAGCTCAGGCATTGTACATGTCTGCCAACACCACCACACACTGAAACTCAACAGAACACACACTCGGGAGGTTTTTTTTTCTTCAGCAAAGTAGGTTGTTAGCGAGCATTCTGGACACATCTATTAGCTAACCCTCAGCGGATTTCATGGACAGTAATGATAGCTACGTAAGGCGATACGACACAGAGTTGCAGTCGTAACAGAAAGCCATGCATTGTGTTGAAGTCAGAGGCAGCTCGGTGTACGTAGGCTTAATGTGACGGGGACAGCACGGGGGCGGGGTTAATGGTGGTGGGGGGTGACGGAGAGCTGGTAGCAGGTGATGAGAGGCGGGACAGGTGAAGGAGGCACTGTGACCAGAAGTTGGCAAGAATGTGTCTGAATCCCTAAAGTGTTTCCTTGATTCCTCACCTCGTCTTCAAGCTTTTTTGTGTTAGTTAGAGGATGTAAGGAAAGGCTTTGAGACTCAGGCCATATTTTGGTTTTTCGAAAAGTGGCACCGTCCTAACAGCGGTTCATAGCATCTGACAAAAGAGGTCCAGATTCTCCTTGTGCAGTACAAATCTAACCCTAGACAAGAAAGCATGTAATAACGATCAGTGCAAGGTTGTGACGCTCATGAATCCAGCCTACAGGGTGAAAGACATTTCCTATTTCTCAGGTGCGTCCTAACTACAGTTCTGTGGTTACATGCTAAGTATAATTCGCAGGAGAATTTTGATTATAATATCATTGAGTATCATAAGAACTTTACATCTCATACTTCCACTGCTTTTTAATTCCTTCATTTGCACTAAGAAATAAAAGATCAAAAGAGCCATGTGCTAGTTTCTGCACAATCTGCATTCTGTTCCCTAAGCAAGAAAAGGACTATGTCTTCAATCAGGAAATCATTCTCAGTATTCTCTGCGTGAAGCCACACGGAGACTTAAAGTGGAACATGAAAAATCTGCATATACATGAGTTGTGTTGAGTTTTCACGGCGACATTACACACACCCTCACGGCAATGATAGTGTTCTACAAAGAGTCCAGATTGAGTCTGTCGCCTGAAAGACATGCAGCGCAGCAGAGACATGCAAAGCTGGCCCGACCCCGCGGGGACGAAGACGCCTGCTCACGCCCGACTCTCCCCACTGCGCTAACCGGAGCTCGGCAAAATAAAGTGTTTACGTTTCAATAGCATGGTATTCACAGCAATCAGATCAAATGGTATGACACTACGGGAGCAGAGAGTCTACTCTGAGCTCCATACATCCACATGTTTCCAAAACAGTACATTGCACTAAAGAGGGAATACACTTCAGAGCAACTTTGATGTGCCTTAAATTCATATATACCTAGTAGTATTTAGAGAAAGATCATACAAAATGTGAAGAAATCAACATGAGCACAAAGTATGAAAAGGAAAATCACATTCATATATTAAGACATTTGTGACAGCGCATCTACAGTAATGAAATCTAAAGTGATATGAAATGCCTGCTGCCTGCTGTCCTGCAGTAGCCTAACGACAGGGGGGGGCTCTGCTTGGGGGGGGGGGGGGTCTCCCCCACGCGGTGACTTCTTATACCGGGATATATTTACCTGGGGAGGGGGTGGGGTCAGGGCGGGGGGAGGCAGGTACAGGTGAGGTGCAGAGGGGGGGTCCTCCCGCACCAACAGTACACTGAGGCAGTCTATTTTCTGAGGGAGGGGCTTCAGGAGGTGAGAGCCAGGGAAGGGAGGGGGGGAGGCGAGGACCGTGGAGAGAGAAGGGGGGGGGGGGGGGGTAGCAGCAGATCCGGAGCGGGCTAGATGTTCTGACAGCACTGCATCTTTGGTTTGTTCTCAGTGGGCTGCACCTGGATGTTGACCACGTTGTTGCTGGGGGACATGTCGCTCTCCTGGCGCTCCGACATCTGCTTCTGGGACACGATACGGTAGATCTCTGGGGGGGGGTTACATTCTGTTAAACTCTTACCATGTCCAGCTTAAAATCTGCCACAGACAGCGCACAGAAGGTTGCTTTTGCTGAATTATTTATACGTTTCTAGAATCAGAAACGGGTTTGTTGCCAAGTAGGTGAACACATACAAGGAGTTTGTGTTGGTGTTTTGGAGCATACATAAACATACATACAAATTCAAATAAAACAGTGATAAACTATTTTAAGGAAACTATAATAACATACAAATATAGCAATAATTACACTGAATCCGTTTACAGCCACTTCTCTGCTTGCTTTCAACTCTGCATGCATTTTTCTGCTAATATTCATTTTTGTCTTCTTTATAACACTTCAAGCAGCGGCTCTTGGATACTCAGACCACAGGACTATTCTTTATCTATATATTTACAGAAGGCATGTGCCATCTTTTAAAATGTGTATGACCCTTTCAGTCCTATGTTAGCATGGCTAACCTACAGCTAAACGTGAGGATTAGCTTAAGATAATAAGCAGCAAGATGCTCCCCTCCTCCACAGATAACTCCTTTCTTTGACAACTTATTTGAGAAGTGCATTGCTAGAAAACAAAAATGTAAGTAATGTAAGTTTTAAGTTAGTGTAGATGTGAATATACTACCTGAGAATGACACCACTTTACCAATGTCTCAAAACAATGGAAACGCGCATGCTAACACGGCTAATTAGCAGCCACAAGACTTCCCAGATACGAGGGCTGTGAGCGGGGTCATTCATTTACAAGTGGTTGCCCTGCGGTGAACTTTCTTGGTTCAAAGCCTAAGACTTGATCAGCAAGACTATAAAACAACTGGAAGTGTCACATTTAGCTTCATGAAGCCTTTATTTGGTTAAATGGATAAGGATACCGATAAACTAACAGTCAATGTAGTGATGTTTAAAGGATAAGGCCTCAGCTTTTCTCTAGAAATCACATAAAGACACCTTTTGAATCTTTTACAGGATTTACATCTTCAAAAGTACTAAGACATTATTGGCTTTGGTCTTTTTATGAGATTTGTTGACAATAAGATGAACACAACAAACCGATAAAGGCTTTCATACAGATAGTGCAGCAGGACCATTAACACAGAGACAAAACTGACAGCAGTTACAACTTTGCACTCAGTCATCTCACCAGTGATAACAAAAGCTAAGCCACTCCTAAAAGATAAGCCGTTCACATATTGCGTGATAAAAAGTGAGTCCAGTATCTCTATCTCCCCACCTGACTTCCCTCTCACTGTAATCTAACTTATAAAGAGGACACTGTGTCATTTCCTCAGTCAATGTTTTTTACAATGTGTTCAAGTTTAGGAGGTGGTTACTGTGGAGTATGAAATTGCAGAAACCGGCATGTTAAACACTAACGCAGTACACACCTGTCAGGATGGTCTGGAAGGCCGTCTCAACGTTGGTGGAGTCCAGAGCCGATGTCTCCAGGAAAGACAAACCATTCTTCTCTGTGGGGGAGAGTGAAGCAACACGTTATATGTCCAACATGTCACATTCCACAGATAGCAGAGCAGTGAGACCCTTTAAACACAGATTTGTGAACGTGAAACTCGTACCAACCACCATTATTACATCATTTCTTTACCGTTTCACCACTGCATTACATACAATCCCCATTACAATGCTTTTATCAGAATCATTAGGAATTTGAGAGGAGGGAGGAAGTAAGTGTTTTGTCAGTCACAACGTCTCAAGTCCCGAGTCAAGTACTGAGTCAAATCTTCTAATCGAGCCGCAATTCCTATATGACCGCAGAGTTATCATATCCAAACTCATTTATCTTTGGCAAAAAAAAAGATAACATAACATCTTTGTTTCCCTTTGAGCTTTGGAGACGGTAGCAAGTATCGGTTCTTAGGCTAGCCTACTAGTGCTTCCCCAGATCCTGCTCCCTTTCTGTGCCCTGCTGTCCTCGACCATTTTGAGCCTGTATCCCTCTCTTCTCTCTCGGATGTAGTCAAGCACCTGCGGCCGACAAATTGCACCTCAGACTGCATTCCCTCTCGCCTTTTTAGAGATGTTTTCGAATCAGTTGGAGCAAGTATTTTATTACTTATAAATACCTCTCTTAATTCAGGATGTGTCCCAGCTGCCTTCAAACATGCCGTGGTTAAGCCACTACTTAAAAAGAAAAATCTCGATCCCTCCATTCTCGCAAATGTCAGGCCCATCTCCCAGCTACCCTTTTTATCTAAAGCCCTGGAACTAGTAGTCTACGCCCAGCTGCAATCATTTTTAACCACGCATGGTATCCATGAAAAATGTCAGTCTGGCTTTAAACCTATGCATAGCACTGAAACAGCCCTTTTAAGAGTTTTTAATGATCTGCTCTTAGCCGCCGATTCAGGCAGCCCAGCTGTCTTGGTGCTGTTAGATTTAACTGCTGCCTTTGACACTGTGGATCATAGTATCCTGTTGTCACGGCTTGAACAGTCTGCAGGCATTACAGGCTCTGCCCTTGCATGGTTCAGGTCTTATTTGACGGACCGTAGCTTCTCAGTGCAGTTAGGTGCCTTCTCCTCTGCCAAAGCCCCTCTTACCTGTGGGGTTCCCCAAGGCTCGATTCTGGGCCCCATCCTTTTTCTATTGTACATACTGCCCCTAGGTTCAATTCTCACAAAACATAATATCCCCTTCCATTGTTATGCTGATGATGTACAGATGTACCTGCCTCTCAATCAAAATGCCAACTCATTACAGCAGTTGAAGGACCGCTTAACAGAGATTAAATCCTGGCTGAGCCAAAACTTCCTCACCCTTAATGAGAGTAAGACCGAGGTCATCTTTTTTGGACCCCAACCAATAGTCTCCCCGGTTGATATTCTGGGCTCCCTCAATAAAAATATCTTCCCCTCTGTCATGAACCTTGGAGTGACCTTCAACAGCGCCTTTAAATTTGATAAGCAGGTTAGCACTGTAGTCAAGACCTGCTTTTTCAAAATACGACTATTGGCTAAGACCAAGTCGTTTTTATCTTTTAAAGACCTAGAAAGGGTTATTAACGCCTTTGTTACCTCGAGACTGGATTACTGCAATGCTCTGTATGTGAGTATGGATCAGGCTTCAATTAGACGCCTCCAGCTAGTTCAGAATGCAGCTGCACGTCTTCTCACTGGCCATAAAAAGCTCGACCATATCACCCCAATTCTGGCTTCATTGCACTGGCTTCCAGTTCGGTTCAGAATAGATTTTAAACTCCTTTTATTTGTTTTCAAAGCCCTAAATGGGCTGACTCCTGCCTATATAGCCGAACTCCTCCATCGCTACACCCCAGGCAGAGAATTAAGGTCGGCTGATCAGCTGTTGCTGGTAGTGCCTAAGACCAGGCTTAAAACCCGAGGGCATCGAGCTTTCGCAGCGGCTGGCCCTAGGCTCTGGAATACTTTGCCCCTCCATGTGAGGTCGGCCCAGAACCTGAGGGTTTTTAAATCAACACTTAAAACTCACTTTTTCTCTTTGGCTTTTGTTTAATTATCTATTTATTTATTTATTTAGTTATTTATTTATTCATTTAATTCTTTATTTTAATATTTATAACATAACATAGGATTTTATAAAGTATTTAAAAAATAGTTTATACATTATTCAAATATAGGAATAGTAGATAGGATTACTTAAAATATAGTACCTTATATTTCATATTTTTTCCCTTTAGACCCTTGCGGTTTATTCTTAAAAATCCTTACCCTTACACACCCCCCATTTTCCCTCTGCTGGTCTATGGCCTTGTAGAGGGTAACGGGGTACAGAGTCGCTTAGATAAGCGGGGGAGTGCATCTGACGAAGAGATAGGTTGTTGTGCTCCCTATCTCTGTTTCTTATCCTATATCTAATAGAACTGCTCGGGTCTTGATAGATTGAGTGGGGAAGTTCATGAGATCTTTCTAGAGGGTCATCAAGAATAACTTGTATCCAATGACCTTTTCCCTCTCTGTCTGTGTCTGTGTATTCTCTTGTTCCGATTAACCCAGCCAAATCTTTTTTCTTGTTTTGTATCTATATCTACGCCGGGATCCGGAGTCGAGGCTGATCCTCTTGCTGTAGTCCTGTGTCTTGGATCCTCTATCCTGAGTTCTGGATTAAGTCGTGGACTTCTGGTCGTGGCTGAACCTGTCTCTGCGGTCCTGCCTTGGGTCTCGTCATGCTGCTTCCCTGATGGCTTCCACAGGTTTGTAGCTGACATCCTCGTGGATTCATCTTCTTATTACAGACACATGCATTTCCTAACATTCGGTCTATATGCTGTAAAATGTATTATCTCTTTGATTTACACACGCCATCTATTGCACGTCTGTCCGTCCTGGGAGAGGGATCCCTCCTCTGTTGCTCTTGAAGTATTTATTTTCAAGTTTAGGGCAAGTCACTGGTGTAAAAGGGGCACTATTATGCGTATCTCTTTCCTGTTGTGTTATATAGGTTTGTGTGCATGTAAATGGTCTGGGAAGGCTAAAATCCAAAGGTCACCTCCAGAAGGGTTTCTCTCTTTTTTATATTTCTTTGATATTTGTATAAACACTACGACAGTCTCACCAGCAAAAGCCCGCGCCTCGTCAGTGGGGACGGCGCGGAGGTGGCGCAGGTCGCTCTTGTTGCCCACCAGCATGATGACGATGTTGCTGTCGGCGTGGTCCCTCAGCTCCTTCAGCCAGCGCTCCACGTTTTCATAAGTTAGATGCTTTGCAATGTCGTAGACTAGGAGAGCCCCCACCGCCCCGCGGTAGTACCTGCAGCACAGAGAGCCAAATGACAGCAGTATTAAAAGGGAGCACTATGATTCCACTCCAACATGTCCACGTCAGCCTGTGGAGTTATTCCAGCAGGAAACCTCAGAGGCTCATTGGGTTTCAGCTCATTGATATTTCTGATGTGCTTTAGGTGTAGGATTGCAGGAAGTGAGAGATTGAAAGCTCCAACATGGACATTGTTTGTGTCTTGACGTCACCTCTACCTCCTGTTTTACATTGGAAAGCAGGCATACAACGGCTCAGCAGGAATTCATAACTGTAGAGAAAATATGAATGACTGGACTGAGAACATTTTGTTTTTGAAAAGAATAAAAAGCAACAAATACAGATTAAAGAAGAATATTTATTTAAATAAAAATATGTTTTGATCTTTCTTCATTTTTTCAATACATTATTGGACATTTTTGGATCACACAAGTCTAAAAGATCTAAAAGTAGAAATACTTGCTTTGAACAACATGAATAAATGCAAAAAAAAACATCCAAAATGTTATTTGTTGTTTAGAAAAATCAATACATCCCTAACATAATTTAAAAAATGCAGATTAGGAGGAGGTTTTTGAAATGAATCTGATAAATAACAATTCTGAAAGAGTGAAAGGAGTCGCCCTTTGAAGTACACTCTGAATAGTTGAATCAGCTGTGTGTATTGGACTGAAATCTGTTGGCAGACAGTTGTACTGTTTCTCTCCTCTGAACTCACGCTGAGGTGATGGCTCTGTAGCGCTCCTGCCCCGCTGTGTCCCAGATCTGAGCTTTCACCGTCTTGCCATCCACCTGGATGCTGCGCGTAGCAAACTCCACTCCGATGGTGCTCTTACTCTCCAGGTTGAACTCGTTGCGGGTGAAGCGGGACAGCAGGTTACTCTTCCCCACCCCCGAGTCACCAATGAGGACCACTGAGACAGAGTACAGAGAGCAAGGTTTAATACAAACTATAAGAATGATATACGTGAGAAAATGTACTTCTCTAAATGACCACCTGTATGCATCTTACTTTATGAGATTGTTTTACAGTAGAAATGTCAAACACTCTGGTTTATGACACTCATTTTGAGGATTTGCTGATTTTTTATTTATTTTACAAGACACTAAACTGAATAGCTTTGGACTGATTGTTGTTCTGATAAAACGAGTTACTTCAATTATATATTATATATATATTGTTACATTATTAAAAATGTTGTGACAATTCAAATACTAAATGATAACCGAAAATAATTATGAAAACAATTGTCGGATTATTTAATGTTGAAAAAAAGATTCACCCTGCCTAGTGTTAATGAAGTATTACAACGTGTTATACACATAGTGCCTACTCAGTTAGGTGTAATAAAGGTACTCATACAGTATGTAGGCACGCTTTAGCTTTTTATACTTGGTCCTCTTTTATTCCTTTTACTTTTTTCATCAATTTCACTTTATAATCTATACTGTATTCTTATTTAACTTTGTGCATGTTGTGCATTGTAGCTGCCAGAATATGTTGAACCTTTAGAACCTGTATGTGTAGGGTATTAACTCATCTTTAATTTATTACCAAACAAACATTTATTGCAAATGTTGTCGAACTAAAATGGTTGGCCTTGGAGGTAACACAAGTTTACTCCATCACCTCAACAGAAAGCACTCATTGGAGTAGGCTACGAAGAATGTATGGTAATACGATCTGTTTCAACAACCAACGCTGGTGAAATGTCAAAAGTAATGTAGAGTCAAACGTATAAATGTAAATGCATATCCAATTATTGAAAAATAAATAAATACCGTGATAATGTTAGAACTTGGAAAAATAGCGTGATATGAGTTTTTAGTCATACCGCCCAGCCCTAACTTATTGTATGTTGTTCACTGTAAGGCAGTATATACACGAGGTCATAAGGACCAAGTACGCGGTGCTAAAGTACACGTAATGCTAAACCAGTGTCAGAATGATCTGTGGTGGAAAGTCAAACATTCTTGAGAACTGTACTTTTTGTGGTCATTGTACTTCACTTGAGTATTTCTATTTGTTTTACTCCTACTCTACTAAATCCCAGAAGGAAATATTTGAGTCTTTACTCCACTACACGCGACTTTCAGATTATTATTATTATAGATTTAACAACCCAGCATTATATAAAGTAGTTGAATTAATGGAATGCACTTTAAACAATCATAGAAAACAAACGAAAAATATAACACAACCACATAATATTAAGCACATCATTAATCCATTAAAAAATTAAAACATATTGGCACATTTACATTTTTTATATCTAATCGGAACACTATAAAATAGTCAAATAACTGTTGACTCTGTAACAGTAGAGTAAAAATAACAATATTACTAAAATAAAATAAAAATACCTTAAATCTTCATTTAGGTACGGAACTTGAGTAAATGTACTTCGTTACTTCAGGAGGATCTCAGTTTGTTTACACTGACCTCATTGTTTGCCAAGCCGGAGCTGCAGTGCAGTTAATAAATTAACACTTTAACTGGAGCTGGTTAACGTTAGCTGCAGGATTCAACGTAAACTAAAGATTAAACGTACACTTAATTTTCGTTTCGTTAATTATTCTGTTCGCTTGGCTGGTTAGATACTATAACATAGTAACAGAAAGTGTATTTATACACTTGTCAAAATCAGCGATACACACAGATATAAGTGCTTCACAATAAAAACATAAAATAAAACAGTTTGTAGACAGACACTGTAATGTTTGAATAACCAGGTAAGAATACATATAATAGAGGAATAAAGTTAAACAATGGATGATTACAATATAATGCGATAACGGTTAACGTTAGGTGTGTCCGATGTGAAGCTGGTCCGCGCCCACTGATAGCAAGCTAACATCAGCTAACTGCTAACGTTAGCCGACGTTCAAGACGCCCTGTCGTTTAACGATAACTACCGTAAGGTGACGAACTGACTGCTCATATAACCTCCACTGTTCACAGAAGGGTGGTTTCAAGTCCTGCACATTGATTAAACATGCTGACATCTCTCCTAAAGCTCGGTGAAAAGCACTCGGAGCACAAAGGTTGACTGCGGCTAAGTTAGCACAGCCTGACAGTTAATCAGCTGGCCCGTTTTACACTGTCAGCTAACAAGACAATAAGGAGAAAAAAAGGCTTTGGTTTTACCTTTGAACAAATAATCATATTCATCATCTCTAGTACCCATCGTCTTATTGGGAAATGGCAAGTCCAAGATTTAATTTGTGTTAATTAAAGAAAAGCGATGATCTACTGTATTTTATTCTTCTTCCAACGGGAATCTGTTTGGAAGCCCTACTTCCGTAATTCCTTCTTCTTCTCTGGCAGAGTGTCAGCAGCACACAGAGGAAACTCCGGAACCTAGTGGTCAGGAAAGGGAACTGCAGAACACTTTTGAGCAGATAATTAACTCAGTTGAAAGTACTCTAGCACAACGTGAAAATTCCCCCCTACAAGTAACAGAGTAATTATTTAAACTACCTGTTTTTCTATTATTGCACCACATGTTTGTTCTACATTGGAAAATAGGTTATAGTGGGAATGTCATGCAGCAAAGGGACAAGGGTCATATTTGAAACTCACAACTCTAAGGACTCAGGCCTACCAGGAGAGCTACCCTACTACATACTTGATATGTATACATGTATGTGTATGTAGTGTGGACATAATGTACTGCACTGCATACAGATAGATGACTATAAAGCATCTTATCTCTTCTAGTATTGTAACTTTCTCTTACTGTTTCAGCCCTATAGAAGATTTTTGTTGTGTTTTGGAATAAAGGACCTTTGACCAATGGGCAGTTGTACACCCCGACACCTGTTAAAAAGCTTCAATATGTACAATCAGCGGTGTTCCCCTTTAATACACATCATATGAACTTGGTTAACACTCGGATCGTCCAATCAAGTCAAAATACACACCTTATTGACATGAAACACCTTTGTGAACTACTGTGGGATTGTCACTTCATATTATCTGTTGACTATTATATCTACAGCAGCAGCTGTCACGATGTTTCTGTATTGCATCAGGGTTGGATTCAAATGTTTGGTGTGACAGATTTTCTCCTGTCAAACATGGCTGCTAGACCTGTGGTGAAAATAATTATTGATTTGCATTGACGTCATTGTGGTTTGGGGCCAGTTATAAATGTTATCTCTTTTTGTTTGCTGTTTTTTTAAAGATTGATAATGAGAGATTAGATAGAGATTATTGTTTATTAGATTTCACAAAAAAGTAAAGTAAAACAACACAATTAACATAATTCAGGGATCCACTTCTAATCGATTTTCTTACTTATTAAAATGCTTTTATAAAATGACGTTATTTAATACTAATCTAATACTTTTTAGTGTCAGGTAACAAATGATCAAACAGTCAATTCCACACGCTGAGTCCTTTTTATTTCTTGTTCTCAGGAAAAATTGTCTTCCAAACAATATTCTGCAAACAAAAGAAAAAAGACATCAAATTTGATATTTCTGCTCTCAATAACATCCACACCACTCATTATTCTTTCAGACTTACATTTTTCCCCCAGGTGGCTTTGGACTTCTTGGTCTTCAGCTCTTCCAGAGACTCGTACATGTTGCCGTGGGTGATCGCCGCCTCCCCTGTGATCTGCTCATATGTGTTATCAGGCACCTTCTGGGGAACCTCGGCATACATGGGGTCTCCCTGCAGAGCTGAATCCCCCCCAGGCCCCCCTGAGGTCTGGTACAGCGGGTTGGACTTCAACATCTCCAGACCACCACCCTGCTGCTCTGACATGGAGCTGCTTGCCCTCGGACTGTCTCTGGGGCTGTGGAGGGAGTAGGTGTGACAGGTGACCTTCTTCAGAGGAGTGGGTGAGTAAGATTCTGATGTTGCTAAGGAAAGCGTGCTGAGCCGATTGGAGTGCTCCTCCACCTCCTCTTTCCTTTTTTCTTCCTCTTCCTCCAAGTTGCTGCTGTTTAGTCTTGGTAGAGATGTGCTCCTGCTCCCCATATGTGTCAACTCAGAGTATGTGATCCCTGGAGGACTTAGATCACCTGAATAACTCATGTTGGAGGTGTTGAATGAGTCTCTATCAGAGACTTGGTTTGTGTTTCCTCTGAGTCTCTCTGATCTGTTTGGTTCGGCGTAGGTTTCACTTGGATGTGATGTTGTTTCGGTGAAAGATCCTCTCAGGGAGAAGCCCAAAGGAATACCTCTCTTTGGTACTGGAGGAACACCCTGAATGACATAATGGAACTACAATGACAATATAGTTGACAAAACAATCTGTCCTCATGGTCGCTTAGTTGCAATCTTACATGATCTTCCTCAGCAGGGAAATGAGTGTAAACATCAAAACTAACAATACTTTCTTACTTCCCTACCTTAGCTTACACTAATCTACCTTTGCTTTTTTTTTTGCCAATTGGATACCACCGAAGACTACAATCTTTACTCACGGTAAAATATGTTCATTTTGTTGTAGTTGCCAGCGATTCTCTCACTAGTTTAGCATACTCAGCCCGACTCAGCCCGGTTGTTGGCCCGGAAAGAACCTTGATTTTGGAGAGCCAGAAAACTGTGAAATAGTACCCGCTAGCCGGAACTACGCCTAGTGGAAACGCAACCAAAAACGGGCCGGGCACGGCACGCTTAAACCGCGCTGTAGTGGATATGCGCCATAACTTCTCTTTTTGGTGTGAAAGCAAAATTCCAGGCACTAACGGAACTAAACGGGAAAAGTACGGGTCAAAGTACTCCGGTGTGAAAGTGCCTATTGTTTTGGGTCTTTAAAATATCTGAATCAAACATACACTTTTTGTCTTAATAAAACCTTTCTTTTTTTAGCACATTGGCCTTAATTTAACAGAGGGCTATGTAAAAAAGGGGGAGAGGAAGGTATACGACATGCGACAAACGTCCGGTGGCCAGAACCTAACCTTGGACATTGTGATTATGGTATGCAAGAGAACCAATTGGGTGCCAAAGATACTTACTAATAAAACCTTTTAATGAAGTTCAAATGTTCATCATACCTGTGAGAGGGACACTGTGTCTACAGAAACCACTCCTGTCAGTTTTCTGTTTTTGGGTTTCAGCGGCAGTGCAGGTGTAGGAGGGTCATTTTGCTGCTGGGTCCTTTGATTGTTGCCGGGGCCGCTGTGATCATCTTGTTTCTGGTCCCAACGAGTCCTCAGGGCTTGGACACTCACCCCAGGCTTCCCTTTGGTGTATTTTACCACATCATACAGCTCACCTGAGTCTACCTGAAAATAACAACCATGTTATCAATTCTTTGAGACATAAACATGATGCTGGTACCAGTCAAATGAAACTAGTGGTGTAGTAACTATGGCCTTTCAAATGTCAAAGTTATGGAGTTGAAGTGCAACGCCTGGTTGTTCAGCGCATTATAATGTCTGGCTGCAGGATGGGAGGTGTGTCAGCAAAAGAAAGTAGTACAACAATAAATCATCTGGTTTACAAAAAATGGATGCTGTTTCAATTATTTCATTTCCAACAGATTAAAAAAGCAAACTCTTGCTAGCCTCATATCATAGCCCATAATGTTGGCTGTGTTCGCCGTTTTTAGCGTGCTATTATGCTAACGTCTCCTTATTAGCACTAAACACCAGTACAGCGTAGTCCAAAATGTAAAGTCACCTAAGTTATTGAATTTTGTCCTGTGGGCATCACAAAATCATCATTTTGTTTCAATCCATCAAATAGTTGTTGAAATATTTAGTGAAACCTAAGATGTTAACCTTATGGCCTAGACTAGAGGAAAAGTCAGAAGATTATTAGGTCTTCTGGGATCCATGAACGTGTGCTGCCAATCCTTGTAATATCTTGGAAATGTTTGACTAAATTCTTAATAGAAGGATAAAGACTTACATCAAATTCTTCATTCTTCACCTCATACAAGCTGGTGGTCAGATATTCTCCAAAGGGCTGGATGGGGCTGACTTTGAAATGTTCCATGAGCTCTGTGAGGCTTTTGTATGTCTGACAGTCTCCTGCTATGACAAATTGTCCGTCTTGATTCTGGGTGATGACAAAATGGCGGCACCTGTCGTGTCCCCTTTGGAAGAAAAAGCACAACTGATGAGATGAAACAGAAAGGCGGTTAAGAAGCAAAGGAACACTGTTGAACAGACTTGATTGGCCTCACTTGTAGGACAGGATGTAGCCGATGGCTTTATCACTGAGGCGGATGAGAAAACAGCCCTGAGCCTTATCTCTCAGCAGATCTTCTGTGTCCCTGAGGCAGATGGCAAAGCAGGACAAATTAAACAGACTTGTAGGCCAATTAGATTTGAATATCAATGTCGTGTGATGAAACCTCTGTTTTCTCTGAGTGAGGTGAGTGAAAGTGAATCAATAGGCTACAGGCTGGACTAATATGATATATTCCTGTTACTTCTAGAGTTATTGGAACTGTCAAAAACATTGATTTCCCCCCTGCACATAGCCTTAATATCTGGAATCAATGTATTATCATGTTCTCCTTACCTTTAAGCAATACTATGTTACGTTTATAACTAATGAATCTACAGACTGGTAGCTTTTGGCTAATGTTAGCAAATTAGGTTAATCCTACTTTGAATCTGCCAGCGAAAGATCAAAGGTTATAAATTATTGAAATCATTTAGATTTGATCTGTTTTATTCAGTTAAAATATTAAAATACTGTTTAGATATGCCTGTATATTGCATTTTATATTTGAGAATCTAACTTTATACACAAAATGGAATTAATTATGTGTAAATAGCACTTTACTGTTGCATCTTGAGCTGGAGCTAATTTTGACTTGTATTTGCTATTTGGCTTGAGTAATAGCCAAATAGCACCACCGCCATACTACACTACTGCAATGTAAAGATAAAAAACATGGATGAACACAATTTGCCTGCTTCAATCAATTCAAATAAAGTCAAAGTAGAACCTACAGAGCCAAAACATGTGTAGCTTCTTATATGTCAAATAATTCAAAAATAAAATACTCAAACTTCTTTTCACTCTGTCACCACATCCTGTGTTAGGATTATTTTTCTTACTTTCGTGTAACGAAGCCTTGAAACCAGTCAGGGAAGTTTCCGTTGTTTAGGATGAGCGGCGCCTGAGTCTCAGTGAACCACCTCAGCACCAGCTCCTTCAGGCCTCCCTCGGATGTCTCAGAGTTCAGATCAACACCCGACATCTTCTCCGTCCTCACAGGTTTGCCAGGAGCTGACGGAGCAGTGGTGGAAAACCATGCATGCTCTTTGCTCAGGTGACGTTTAACCCTCTAAAGGAAGAGGATAGGATATCTCATTTGACTATTTCTGATAGCATCACTCTCATCTGAATAGTGGCATTGTTTTTAGTTTATCTATAAATGACTCTAGCCTATTGCTCATTGGGCTGCCAGTTTCATTTTACTATCTGTGTTCCCTGTCCAAGATTGAACTTTAAAGGTTGATCACGCAGTACATATTTCATTTTGTTTGTTAATTGTAATTTAAAAAAGAAGATTCTCTACGAGACTTTAGAAAATGTATATGAGCAAATGACAGAGCTTCAAAAATAAATATCTCTGTGTACTTGTATTGATCTGAGTTGAACAAATCTGATTGCACAGTTTTATCTCTCCCACAACATTTTTACAAGATAAACTATTCAAATGTAGGTTAAGATGTGAGCAACCATTCCAAAAAGCTGGAACCACATTCATTATGCAGGTGATGCACATCACTTATATACTAATAAAGGACTGGCTTATCTAAAGCCAGTTGAATAGCACTTGAAATGTTTGGCTCTATGAAACCTGATGTACTTATATGATTCTGTTTTCTTCAAGGTTGTGTCTTCCTGGTCGAATGTACGTATTGTAAGTCGCTTTGGATAAAAGCGTCAGCTAAATGCAATGTAATGTAAATGTAATGATGTGTCCATCAACCAGAGAATTGGTAAAATGTTGAACTGAGCGCTGAATGTGCACCAAAGTTATTACAATTCATCCTGAAGGCCAGGAACCATAAATGTTTCAGTGCAATATATTTATAAATACATTTTTAATTAATATGGATTCAGCTTCTGGGGAATATGAATATCAGATATCACAATGGATTTCTGACCGAAAGAACGAGATCGCGGATACAAGCGGCCGAGATGGGTTTTCTCCGCAGGGTGGCTGGTGTCTCCCTTAGGGATAAGGTGAGAAGTTCGGTCATCAGGGAGGGACTCGGAGTTGAGCCGCTCCTCCTTCGCGTCGAAAGGAGCCAGTTGAGGTGGTTCGGGCACCTAGTTAGGATGCCACCTGGGCGCCTCCTAGGGAGGTGTTCCAGGCACGTCCAGCTGGGAAGAGGACCAAGGGGTAGACCTAGGACCAGGTGGAGGGATTATATCTCTTCGCTGGCCTGGGAGCGCCTTGGGATCCCCCAGTCAGAGCTGGTTGATGTCGCCAGGGAAAATAAAGTTTGGGGCTCTCTGCTGGAACTGCTACCCCCGCGACCCGACCACGGATAAGCGGAAGAAGATGGATGGATGGATGGACAATGGATTTCATGAAAATCCATCTGTAAATTGCCCATATTTTTCACTTAAACATGTCAACCTCACAAAAGGGCAAGTTGAAAAGTCAGTTTATCATTACTCATTAGGATTCATCTTCTGGGGAACATGAATGTGAACAAACATAATAGATGTGTTCAAAAATGTGATCAGAATTAGCACATTACATTTTTCTAATGTGTTGTGTAAACGTTTTGGTAGATGGAAGTGTTATGGAGAAAAGATCAGGTGGGCCACAGTGTATTATTCTAATGAATTTATTATAAATTGAAATTATTATAAAAAGGTGAATATGTTCTGGATCAAGACATGTAACCAGTAGGCTAGCTAGATTAGAAAATGTCAAAGAGAAGGACAGCCAGCTGTTATTAAAGGAGAGAAGTGCCAATGCAAGTGTATTTTTGAAATGCTTTAAATAATTTAAATTTACTGGTACAAAAATCAATAATGTTTTTTAATTAATGAGGCTGAATAAGAAAAGGTTTCAGTACTGACTCGACAGACAGTGTACTAGAAAGCGCAAAAACAACAGGTGTCATAGTTTCACGTGCGAGCAGAACAGATGGCCGGACCAAGCGGCACAGCGCGCGCACAGACACGTTGACGCCAAACTTCATTTATATTATTGCCAAGTAAACATTTACTTTAATTTCTACAAAACTACATACCTGATTTCACACATTCGAATTTGCATTCTGAGTTGCCTCGTCTTAGTTTTTCATTCGGCATAAACAAAATACACACACTATTTGTAACATTTTAAGCAGCAGTGTAAACACAAAAACAGGAATATTAACATTAAGTTCAAACTTACTGATTTGCTCGGGTCACAGTTACCATGCATTTACATTTGGGTATGGGTTAGGTTTAACCCTTGTAGGCTATGTTGTTCGGGTCTGTGGGACCCGTTTTCATTATTAATCTAAAGAAAAGATATATGATAAACTATTTGTTCAAACTCATACTCAATGGCTTTGGCTCATTTTCTTTGAAGAACTCTGTGTGTGTGTGTGTGTGTGTGTGTGTGTGTGTGTGTGTGTGTGTGTGATGTGTGTGTGTGTGTGTGGGGGTGTGTGTGTGTGTGTGGTGTGTGTGTGTGTGTGTGTGTGTGTGTGTGCGTGTGTGTGTGTGCATGCGTGTGTGTGTGTGTGAGACTTTTGTGTTTCTGTCCCTGCCATTCCCGCACAAGGTTGCAACATTGTTGATAAATTCAAGCACAGACACCTGTCTGCTCTCACATTATCGCATTATGTCTTGCGGGAACCAATCTTTATATTTTTCACATTCTATCCCAGCTGCAAATTTGGGGCGGGACACAGTAAATAAAGCTTTGCCAGTTTGTGTCCTTATCACAACTGATCAAGATGGCCAAAAGATTAACCATATATGCTGTTTATATTGCTTGTAATTAGGATGTAGACATCTGTTGAGTATTTTAACATAAAATAGTTTGATTGTGTTGAATTGAAACCTAAAAAGGCAGCGGGTCCACCAGACCCATGAACACTGGCTGAATAACAAAAATATGAACACCACATAAGGGTTAGCAAAAAGCGACATATTTTAGCTTCTCAGTTAAAAGTATTAACACGAAATGTTTTTCACACTGAAGTGCAGTGTGACTCTCTCCCCAGGCTGGGGGGCGGGATGTGTTGTTGGGACGTCGCAGAGTCCTCGTGTGCTCAGCGTTAGAGACGCACACAGGGCAGCAGCAGGAGGACAGGGGGATCAACATGTGAATCATTTGTCAACATGGTAATACATTTTCTAAGCTATTCATTGATTATTTTTATTTGTTGTCCTATTATTTTTGATAACTTGTGATAGTTACAATTATAGTTTTCTTCTCCAGACAAAGTCAAGTAAGCCAGTGCGCGTCTACATTTGAACTGCATGACATTATTTTTGTATAACAGGATATGTTTTTAAATCGTCTCATTCATTTTTATTAGCTTTTTTTTTCATGATATTTGGGACATTTTTATTCCAGATGGTGAAACAACTGTTGTCTGATAGTTCAGGTAGGCCTAAAGAGTAATGAAGAAAATGTATTATCCTAACTACAGACATCAGTGAGGACTGCAGCTATGGACTTATTCAAACAACAGAAAGTGGAGGATTTCTATGAAATTGGTGAAGAGTTGGGAAGGTACACTTATGCATGCATCATATCTACTCATTCACTTCTTAATTTTGTAATAATTGCATCTTGCATTCGATTTAATCAATAATGCTGGGATGTTGAACAGTAATCAAAATCCAAATATCGTGTAGCGTAATGCAAACACTTCTAACAGTATCGTACATGCCAGGAAATGACTTCATATCAAGAAACTGAGCTACAACATAGGTCCATATTTCAACTACATGTTACAATCTATTTATATATTCTTTAATTTCAGAGTCAGCCAGGATCACTGATATAAAATGATGATCTATGCAAAATCTAAATTGTTTAATTTGTCTTATTTTATTTTAAGGCATACAGCACAAAATTAGATGAAAATATTTGGAAATGTAGTTGTTATTTCTTCACATGACTACCACAATATTCCAATATTGTACATAATTGGTTAGACATCCGCAATATGAATATACCCGAAACAACTTTGTGTTTATTATGAAAGTTTTGTTTGTTTTTTTGGTTGTAGAATGCTTTATACCTTTCAAAATAAAACATCACTCAGACTTAAACATTTGCACACAAAAGTTGCCTTTTCTCAAAAGCATGTATGTCACGGCCCCAAGCAGTCATTTCTTTGCTATAACAATACGATTGTTGCTGCAAATAACAGGAGTCAAACTGTGTGTGCCTAAGCCTCCTGCACAACACAAGTGTTTCGAATTACACTAAAAGACCCCTGGTCTGCTTGTGTAGTTTGTTTCTGTGCGTTGTCAGGTGGGGACAACTGTTATGCATGTCAAGCTGCTTTTTAAAGGACACTTCTATCTTTAGCCGCAGCTATATCTACTCCCAGACTGCCGATGAGGAAGTGGAGTGTTAGATTACAAACCATTCAAGTGAACCAGAACTAAAAGTATGCAGCTGGACAGTCCTGTGACATTTGAATTTCAATGACTGAAAGACACAAAACCCTGTATTTAACAGAAGTGTTTGTATTAGACTGTAAATATGGAGACCAGTTTATCGCTTTGGGGCATAGCAGACTGTGTTCGACACTATAAATAAACTGCAGTGGTGGGAAAATGCAAGTGACAAAAATAAACCACATTCCCACCAGAGTTCTGTGGCATGTGTTATTGTGGGGTGCCTAATGCTTAGTAAGCTTTCAGTAACAGACACGATTAAAATAACTTGTTATTTAATAACTTACATGAATGTATAACCATCCCTACATGAACAGGCTTTTTTGAGATATTTATTTTTAAAGTTAGATTTGTTCTAATCTCATTGAAGTGCAGGTATCAGGCCAATCTTTTTAACTTGTATATATTTCCAAATTAGTTATCCGTCCTCATTGGGCCTATCAGTATTCCATGACTCTTTAATGTTATTTATTGAACAGTTTTTAGTTTAGCCTCCTACCTCAAGAAAGACAAACTGTATGCATCTTGAAGGTGTGTTTAATGGGGAGAAGAACCTGAATAGGATCAATTTGCCTGTAAAAAGATAGGTTTGATACTTCTCACTCAATCAAAGAACTGAACAATTTTGTGATGTTATAGGCTGTGATGTGATTACTTGATTAATCACGAAAATGGTTGTAACAATATATATTGAGGTAAGCCACATAGAAGACTTAAGCGATTAGTGATGTGAAGCATCTTCCAAATGAGGTGATGGCCCCAAAACAGTGACAGGACAAGGTTAGGGTTAGGGATGTAACATGCTCAGTGCTATCTGCTGGACAAATAAACTAATGATTTGTAAATGACCTCAAACATTTCAAGGACCAATATAGTAACAAATATATCTGTGATTATCCAGGCGACAATCAATTTGGTCAAGCCACTCATAGTTTTTCAGATTTAACCCCATGTAATGCCTGCTCTGTGTTTCAGTGGGCAGTTTGCCATTGTAAAGCAATGCAGAGAGAAAAGCACAGGGCTGGAATTCGCCGCCAAGTTTATCAAGAAACGGCAGAGCATGGCCAGCTCTCGAGGTGTGCGGCGGGAGGAGATAGAGCGGGAAGTGGACATCCTGCAGCAGATTCAGCACCCAAACATAGTCACGCTGCACGACGTCTACGAGAACCGCACTGATGTGGTGCTCATCTTGGAGCTGTGAGTGAGGGGGATCAGTTTATTTGAAGTCACAAATGTATTCATAGTACTGTTATTAAAGCAGGTTGCTGTTAATCATAAAGTGTCTTTGGCTCATATCAAACTGGTAGGTCAGTCAACACAACCACACGCTGTGATTTAGAACAGGGTTCAAAACTTTATTTTAAATGTTATTAGACAGCCTTGAGTCAACAAACATACCTATTGGCTACATTTCAGGGAACTTAACACTTCGTATTAAGTGTATTATTGGGCAAATCAAATGACTCTATCCAATGGGCCAATTAAATGAGGATTTAATGGGCCAATGAAAGTACCTTATTCAAAGAGCCAATCAAATGACTCGGTCCAAACGACCAATCAAATCACTTCATCAAATGGGCCAAACCAATGACTCTATCTAATAGGCCAATCAACTCACTAGATCCAATATGCCAAATAAATCACTGGACCCAATTTTTGTTTGCCCCTTACCACAATAACGTTACCACTTATACAGTATATGCTCAAAGTTCTCAATAGTATCCTTTAACGTGTGTGTGTGTGTGTGTGAGTGTGTGTGTGTGTGTGTGTGTGTGTGTGTGTGTGTGTGTGTGTGTGTGTGTGTGTGTGTGTGTGTGTGTGTGTGTGTGTGTGTGTGTGTGTGTATGTGTGTGTGTGTGTGTGTGTGTGTGTTGCAGGGTCTCTGGAGGAGAGCTCTTTGACTTCCTGGCACAGAAGGAGTCTTTGAGCGAGGAAGAAGCCACTCAGTTCATCAAGCAGATCCTGGAGGGGGTGAACTACCTCCATGCAAGGGAAATCGCTCACTTTGATCTTAAGGTTTGTCCAGAGGTTCAAGGTTCTTTATTGTCAAACTAACATAGCTACAGAGTAATTATGTTGTTGAAAATCCTAGGTCACAGGCTTCTCCAACAGTGCAACACAATAATACAGATAAGCAGACAATATTAAAGCAATATTAAAGTATATTATATTAAAAGTAATACAAAAAGAAAAATAGTTTTTAAAAAAGTGAGAAAGTGGAATAGTGCAATACAAGTCTATATACAAGTTATTGGAATGATATATTAACTTGTATATAGACTCGTATTGCACTATTACACTTTCTCACTTTTTTTAGAACTATTTTTCTTCTTGTATTACTTTTAATATAATATACTTTAATATTGCTTTAATACCACACAAGAGGTCACATTTTCAAGTTTCAGATTCACTCTCAATCGACCTCATTCAGCTTAGCTGTGATATTTCTAACTAAAGGATACTGCTCATAATGAATCAGCATATTTTGTTCGGCAAAACAAGGAAGGTTAATTTTTACAGCAAAGTTCACAATGTTCAAGGCAACTTAAAGAGCTTGACAGCAACAATTAAACGCATTATAAATATAGGGCAAAAGAAACCCAGTATTCAAATATATTTATTATTAAAAAACAAAAAGAGTATTTTAAATATTATTACTAATATGATTTGTACATACTATTCAACATGACATCAATACAATGTTTCATTAAATGGTTTTGGGCACCTTTTCCTTCACATTTTGTTTCACTTGTCAGAATTAAGATAGATTAATCTAAACTTGACTTGACGAAGACTAAAATGAGATATGATCAAAAGCTCCAGAACAGATACTAAATCGACCTTTGTAAGATCATTATCTCCTGTTTCCCAGGTAAAAATATAACTTTAAACTCCAGCGAATGTTTTTTTGGGTTCATCTTGACTCCCTTGAGTTTATTTTTCTGTAAAGAGGAGCGAAAATGTTTGGATGTTTTTACTGCTGCTGTCCAAGTGGAGGTCTAACAAGGACGATGACCTTGTCACTTTAGTAAATTACAGGACACATATTTGTTCCACTAAGTGGAGCAATAAGGTCTGTTTAATGTAGAAAGTATAAATTGCTACATTTGCATACTAACTTTGCTATTTCCTGCGTGTCTATTTTTTCCTGATTTTTGATGAGGATAAAAAAATGTGTATTATGTCAAATAAATGCCTTTCTCTCTCATACCTGCAGCCAGAAAACATTATGCTGCTGGACAAGAATGTGCCGTTACCAAGAATAAAACTCATAGATTTTGGTCTCGCCCACAAGATTGAAGCCGGGGTTGAGTTCAAAAACATATTTGGAACACCTGAGTTTGTAGGTAAGACAATGTTTTTAAACAAACTCAACCAAGAAACAACAGAAATGCAATCAAGCATCACTCACCGGACACCTGACAGTCAAAAAATGACATAAAACTGCATTCTTCCTCTCATCTATTTGCCTTTCAAGCACCGGAGATTGTCAACTATGAGCCACTGGGATTAGAAGCCGACATGTGGAGCATTGGGGTCATCACCTATATCCTGCAAGTGAACCACAAGCACCATATTGTCACTTCTACTGCAGCTACCGTCAAACTGGGTGATGAACTTCTCTCTCTGCTGTTTTGTTTTGCTCCAGGCTGAGTGGTGCTTCACCTTTCCTGGGAGAGACCAAACAGGACACTCTGAGGAACATTTCAGCCATCAATTATGAGTTTGATGAGGAGTTCTTCTGTCACACCAGTGAGCCGGCCAAGAAATTCATCAGCCAGTTGTTGGAGAAGGATAAGAGGTACAAATAAAAGGACATTGTCCTTATGACAAGGTTGTGCGTCAACAAGGAAGTCAATCTCTGTCTTGGCTTTATAATTGATTCAGAAGGAAGACTCTTAGGTCAGATGAAGTGCTACATGTTGAGGAGGTGGATGTTGGGGACCAGTGTAAATGTCAAATCGCCCTGAATTGAGAAAATATAATATTAATTAGTTTATTGGATTGAATTGAATAGCCACTCAGTGATTATATGTACGATCATCATTTTTTGGACTTTCACTCAAATGTTCTCTTACAGGAAAAGATTAACAATTCAAGAAGCTCTTAATCACCCATGGATCAAGGTAAAGAAAACGAACTTTCTATATTTTATTTTTTATCTTTGTCTGCAACTTAGCCTATATTATATTACAGAGCCTGAATTTGAGATTAAATCAACATTTTATTTATTATATATTTTATTTAACATTTATTTCTAGATCTAAACTGCCTGTAGAAGGTTTAGAATCAGCTGCTATATGTTTTCCTTCTTTGCTTCAAAAAGGGATATTTTAAAAACAGATTAATTCGACGTTTTTGAATTTGAATCTGTCCCTCGATCATTATTTGACCAAAAACGGTGCAATTTGGCTCTAAATATTGCATTTTTCCGTTTTTCTTTTGGCCCTCTGCAGTCTACACATTGGTTAGGGTTAAGAGGTTAAATCATTGATTTGTCAGCCCATAGTATGTCCAGCTTATTTTCCATTGTATTTTCATTAGGGATGCACGATATTAGGAATTATGACGTCATCCCGATAAACCCCGATAATATACAATATATTATATTGTATATATAATATATTTTTTGGGTAAAAAGAAAAGAAAAAAATACTGCGGTGTGGGTGGATTGGGATGAGGGGTGCTTGTTTTTCACTCGGCTCCTCCCGTTTTGCCAGTACTGTGGTATTAGTGGTTTAGGAAGAGGGGAGTTCTTCACAAATCCAGTGCTCCCTAACTCATGCCTGGCTGTGACGTAAATGGTGTGCGGCCGTGAAGCCAGGACAGTAAACAAACATGTCGTCGGTGGTATGGGCGTTGGAGCTATGTGCAACTCAAGGCATATGCTCGAACCGGAGCTGCCTGGACGCTGCAATCATGTTGCGCACTATCCGTGCTGAGTGTGCTGACTTTTCGTACAATGTCCCACTGTCTGGCTACCTGCATAAAGTCAAGTGCTCGGCGCAGTTGTGGCGAAATGTCGCTCCTCTGTTTTCATTTAAACAGCTCCGTATATCCGTTAGCGCAGCTAGCTAGCACCAGATGCTAACAACAACAATGCACGTAAGGTCTCTCTCTCGGGCCACACATACACACACCCTCCCGGTCCTCCAGATGGCCAGTCGGTGAGCGTGGAAGTGTGGTCTGCCACAAGCGGGCGGCAGGAGCGGGGCTGTCAGCATCAGCTTGTAGATGGTATTTTAAACTTGATGCGCTCTGAAACTACGGGGCGGCCAAGGAAAAAAAATACACATGCGTTAATCGCGTTAAAATAATTAGTGGCGTAAAACATTTTTTTTTATCGGTTATCGGTATCGGTCTTGAGAAGCAGGAAGTTATCGGTATCGGTATCGGTTTCAAAAAACCAATATCGTGCATCCCTAATTTTCATCAATTGTAGAATATGTGTAGAATATTCACATTTCTGACTCTGCATTGCATGTATTTGTGCCTGGTCCTCCCTCTTTTAGACACAGTTCCTAACTCTCCCTTCTTTATCCCTAAAGTCCAATGAGCACAAGGAGGAGAATAAAGCCAAGGAGCCAAAGAAACGGGAGCGGCGCCAGCTGAAGACAAAGCGCCTGCGGGAGTACACTATCAAGTCCCACTCCAGCATGCCACCCAACAACACCTATGTAAACTTTGAGCGCTTTGCCCAGGTGGTGGAGGACATTGACCAGATGGAGAGCTCATTTGTCAGCCTGGCAGCAGCCCATGACTCCCTGCAGGAAGACATCGATGCCATGGTCTCCATATACAATGAGAAGGAGGCCTGGTATAAGGAGGAGAGTGAAGATGTGCGCCATGAGCTCTCGCAAATCCGCTACGAGTTCCGTAAAGTGGAGGCCTTTAAGAGGAGCCTGCAGGACGACATGCAGGCCTTCAGCTCCAGCCTCGACGGAATCAGCAACCGCTACCAGGAGAGACAGAACCACTTCGATTCGCTGCGTCAAGAGCTCAGCAATGAACTGAAGTGGGTGCAGGAGGTGATGGGTTCATTTCCCATGGATGGAGATGGTGGAGGATACCCCAACTGCAGCTTCTCCACCGTCTTCAACCACGACGTAAATGAAGCCCTGAAGGAGCTGCTGAACCGCTCCTGTGGAGGAGAGCTGTTGTCCGGGATCAACCTGGACTTAGAAACCGGACAGCAAAGATAAATGCTTCAGTTATTCAATAACCATTTTAAATCATGGTGACTAGTAAAATCTAAGAAATAAGGCTTTCAAAAGGGTTTAAGTTCTACCTACAACCATTTGCTTCTGATGAGAACATCAAGAAAGGGTTCCCTTGTAGGAATAAGGGTTCAATTAAGAACCTTTTTCTTCCAAGTAACCATTTTTGGTAGAAAGAGTTCTTGAATGATTGATGACAGCATGGGTGTTACAATAACCTTCCTGGCCACACCCCCATAATGAATGTGATCCATGAATGTTCTGGGTAGCCTCATCAACCTGGCCCTTAAAGTAGCCTATCGAAGACTAAAGCCACTGGATATGGTTCCATAGAAAATAGCTGATATGTTAAAGTAAAACAAATTTTAGGTTGCTCGGACTATACCCTAACCACAATATGTCATTTATGGGATTCAATCATTTTGGGCTCTAAAGTCCACTACAATGTGGTTCTTCGAGAATTCAGAAGACAGGATGATAATGGGTGAAACCCTTTTAAAAAGGTTATGTTTAGGTCCCCTGTGAATGTTCTAGATAAAATCCTTATATACAAGGATTCCCAGTAAAACACCATGTGTTTTTGGCAGCACCTGTATGTGTAAAGGTTCTGGATAGAACCCCAAGAGAGGGGTTTTGGGTAAAAAACATTCACGGATGGTTCTAGATATATCCCCTTTTATGCTTTGATAGGTTAGAAGGTGGAACCTTGAACATAAAGTGTTCTCCTATATAATGGGGACAAGCTGAAGAATGCTATATTGTTCATGTAAGACCTTTATTTCTAAGAGTTTACATACCCAATGTCACAATAGGGAGGTCTGTGTCAGGCCATAACGGATTATTTCTGTTGCAATACAAATCAGTCATGTCAGAAAAGTATTACCCAATCTTCAATTTTTTTAATTATTTGAACAACAAGGTATGTCATCACATACAGTGCATACAATGCAATGGTCAGCAGACTCATTTTGGTATAAGTGTTACGACTGGAGCACACAAAAACTGATAGGACCCAAATGCACGACTCTAGACAAAAGATGATTCAAAAAAAGGTTTTACTGTGATGATAAAACAAGGTAATCCATTCACAAGGTTCAAAACGATCTGGCACTTGGCACAGAGAACACACAGAATATATACAAAAGCAAGGGACTCCACAGGTGCAAACAATAAGGGCGGGGCAGGTAATCAGGTCAGTGGACAAACAGGCAAGGTAGGAATCGAACTACCTGAAATGAGAAGGGAAATGACAAAGTAAAACAGGAAATGGCAGACACAGACTTGACAATATAGACTCAGAGAAATAATACTAACAGATCTGACGAGACACAACAGTACCCCCCCCTCTACGGCCGACTCCGGACGGCCCAGAGTCCTGTGGATTAAGTCTGAAAAAGTCCTTTATCAGTTTCTGATCCACAACAAAACTTGCTGGTACCCACGACCGATGTTCTGGACCGTATCCTTTCTAGTCTACAAGGAAATGTCAGCCGCGTCCTCTCTTCCTGACTGCTAGCAGTTTCTTGACGTCATATATCAGACCGCCGTCTAACATCCGGGGTGGAGGAAGAGGCTTGGATGGAGGAACCAAACGACTCTCCCGAACCGGTTTGACTTTGGCAACATGAAAGATCGGATGGACTCTCAAGGACCTGGGCAGGCGCAGGCGAACAGCCACCGGGTTAACAACTTTCGTTATGCGAAACAGACCCACAAACCTCGGAGCCAGCTTCCTGGAGGCCACACACAGGGGCAGATCTCTTGTAGATAGCCAAACCTTCTGCCCGGGTTTGTAGGCAGGTGCCGGACGACGATGTCGATCTGCTGTCTTTTTCATGCGAGCAGCACTCTTCAGGAGAACCTGGCGAGCTCCTGCCAAGACTCTGCGACACCGCCTCACCAGGGCATGTGCTGACGGTACAGTCACTTCCTTCTCTACTTCTGGAAACAGAGGAGGTTGGTAATCATAGGCGCAGTGAAAAGGGGAGACCCGTGGCAGATGTAGGTTGGGTGTTGTGGGCATACTCCACCCATATCAGCTGCTTGCTCCAAGTTGTGGGATTCTGGGACACCAGACACCGTAAACACGTCTCCAGTTCCTGGTTGATCCTCTCTGATTGACCATTAGCCTGTGGGTGGTAACCAGATGTGAGGCTGGGAGTGGCTCCTATCAGGCTGCAGAATTCCTTCCAAAACTGGGAAACGAACTGCGGCCCACGGTCTGACACCACATCTCGAGGAAATCCATGCAGCCTGAAAACATGAGACAAGAGCGCTTCTGCCATCTCTTTAGCAGAGGGAGATTTGGGCATGGGTAAAAGTGAGTCATTTTGGTGAATCTGTCAACAACAGTGCAGATGGTGGTGTTACCTGCAGAGGGCGGCAGTCCAGTGACAAAATCCAGCGGCTTGGAATGGACAAAGGTTGCAGTAGACCCATAGGAGACTGGGTAGAGGTCTTATTCCGAGCACAGGTAGTGCAGGCTGCCACATACTCAGTAACCTCCTTCTCCATTTTAGGCCACCAAAACCTTTGCTTTATCATGTACATAGTTCGTCTGATACCTGGAAGACATGTTAATACAGATGTGTGAGCCCAGTGAATCACGTCAGAGTGGACAGATGGGGGAACAAAGAGACGGTTAGGGGGGCCACCACTGGGTACGGTTTTCCCCTCTAAAGCTTGATTTACCTTAGCCTCAATTGGCCATGTCACCCCTCCTATCACCTAAGTGGACGGTAAAATGGACTCGGTCTCCTTGGAAAGAGCCTCTGGGTCAAAAAGCCTGGATAACGCGTCTGGTTTGGCGTTCTGTGAGCCAGGACGGTAGGAGAGAGTGAAGTTAAACCTATTGAAGAATAAGGTCCATCGTGCCTGTCTGGAGTTTAACCTCTGAGCCTTGCGTATGTACTCCAAATTGTTGTGGTCTGTCCACACAATAAATGGCTGTTTTGCCCCTTCTAGCCAGTGCCTCCACTCATCCAGTGCTACCTTCACGGCTAATAACTCTCTATTGCCTACATCATAGTTCCGTTCAGCCGCAGTCAACTTACGGGAAAGGTAGGCACATGGATGGAGCTTACTGTCTTTCTCTGCCCTCTGTGAGAGGACCGCCCCGATGCCCTCGTTGGAGGCATCCACCTCCACCGTGAACTGCCGTTGGGAAGCCGGGATGGTAAGTATTGGAGCTGTAGTGAAAACTTTTTTTAACTTCTGGAAGGCCTGGTCTGCCTGTGGGGTCCACACAAACTGAACAGAAGGAGAGGTGAGTACATGCATAGGAGCGGCAATATAACTACAATTCCTATCACATTTTCTGTAGAAGTTTGCAAATCCAAGGAATTGTTGGACTTTTTTCCTGGAAGAGGGTGTGGGCCATTCAGCCACAGCGCTCACTTTAGCAGGATCCATCATTATCTGGTCAGGACCCAGCATGAAACCCAGAAATGAAGTGGAACTGACGTGGAACTCACATTTTTCAGCCTTGACATAAAGTTGATTGTCCAACAACTTTCTTAATACCTGACGAACATGCGAAATGTGTGAACCTTCATCACGGGAAAAAAAAAAAATCAGGATATCATCAAGATAGACAAAAACAAAATGATTCAAAAATTCCCTCAACACATCATTTATGAGAGCCTGAAAAACGGCAGGTGCATTTGTTAGACCAAAAGGCATTACCAGATACTCATAATGTCCGCTTGGAGTGTTGAAACCAGTCTTCCACTCGTCCCCCTCCCGTATCCTCACCAAGTGGTAAGCGTTACGCAGGTCAAGTTTTGAAAAAACTCTAGCTCCTTTCAACAGTTCAAACGCTGAGCTCATAAGCGGGAGGGGGTACCTGTTCTTGATGGTTATGTCGTTTAGGGGGCTGTAGTCGATGCAAGGTCTCAGGGATCCATCTTTCTTCTCAACGAAGAAAAAACCAGCTCCGGCGGGAGATGACGAGGGACGGATAAGACCCGTTTTGAGAGAGCCGTCTATGTACTCCCTCATAGACTCTCTCTGGAGCTGAGAGAGAGTACAGTCTTCCCTTGGGCAAGGGGGACCCAGGCAGGAGATCGATGGCGCAGTCATAGGTGCGATGAGGAGGAAGGGATGTCGCTTTAGTTTTATTGAACACCTCCTTGAGATCTCGGTAGCAGCTGGGTACGTTCGAAAGGTCAGGGAAGTCTGAGTCTTGATTATTTTCATGTTCCCTGTCATTGTCTATAATGGGCTCTCTGACAATTTCAGCAGTCTTGCCCCTGAAACACGAATGAGAGCATTCGCTTCCCCACCCCAAAACCTTACCAGTCCGCCAATCAATGTGAGGGTTATGTTTGCACAACCAGGGATAGCCCAGAATTACTGCATGCTGTGCAGAATCAAACAGATGAAAAGTCATATGCTCTGAGTGTTCATGTTCAATAGTTATTTTAAGAGGCATGGTTCTATGAGTCACTTTGCACATGAGAGTACCGTCCAGAGCGCTAGCTTCAAGTGTCTGAGTCAATGGCACGGAGGCAATTTTCAAACGTTTAGCTAACCCCCAGTCCATAAGATTAGCGTCAGCCCCTAAATCTACAAGTACTTTCAAAGCTATGCTGTGCTCATTATTACTAACCTCAACCTGGGTCATGGATCGTGAAGGGAAATCTGCGGTTGTCAATCGGCTCACCAGCACCCTCCGTCTTACTGGTAAGCCCCGTCTTTTAACGGGCAGGCTCCCAGGAAATGTCCCTGCTTCCCACAGTAGAAACATAAACGCTCCCGGAGACGCCGCTGCTTTTCCTCGGGAGACAGCCTGGCCCTTCCAAGCTGCATGGGTTCCTCTTCTGTGTTCCCCAAAGCAGGTTTCACGGTAGAGGAGGAAGTGTGGGTCCGAAATCCGGGTCGTAGTGGAGATCGTACAGGAGTTGGCGCTTTCCTGGCTTTCTCCCTCCGTCGCTCTTGCAGCCGAGTGTCTGTGCGTATAGCCAACAGTAGCGTGGCGTGGGGAAAAATGTAGGGGAAGCCCATTTTTTGGGTCGGGGGGGTGGTCAATAACGTAACCAGATGAGTGATTACAGCGCCCGGTATCATTTTACACACATTTGTATCACACAGATGCAGGACTTGCACACGCCTGTTATCTAACCGAAAGGTCCGCACGCACTCTCCAGCTGAAACTCTCTCCTTATTAATTTAAGCATTTTACTTATTAATGTATGCAGACAATAACACAATCTATGTGATTTTTTTATTTACCGTGCCTCTCAATTGCCCGTGACAGGTTGGCAAGGTCGATGAATCCTGAAGTTGCCTAAGGATTGTTCAGGGAGCACGAATCCTTGTCAAAAAGAAGACATGGCCAGCAAAATAGACGCTGAAGTTTAGCGCTTCCAGTTAGCCACTCCGTGCGGACATAATTGTCCTCATTGAACGTCCGATTCTCTCCCTTTTTCCTCTGTGTACACACAGCTCGAGTGCGGGCATTGGCCTGTCATCTGATTTAATTTTTAGTTGCTGCTGTAGCGGAAGTTTAGTAAAGTTATGTTTGATTAAGTACGCCAAATCTCCACCCTCCATAATGCTTCATTTGCTTGATAATTTCTAACGGCGGTGATGACAGTTACAGTATTAAAACTGATGTTGATGTGATTTGATTGGATGGCAGTGTCCAATCAAATCGCCAGCCGCCAGCCGCCAGCCGCCTCTGAAGGGAAGCAAGAGGCGGCTGGCTTCCCTTGGCATGGCCCTGACCAATCACAGGTTGGCAGGGGCATCACGTGGGCCTCATCTGATTGGTCAATCCCTCAATTTTTTTCACCAAGGGAGGACAGATTCGGCTGGCCTCCTCTCGCAACAGAGAGTGCAATCTACTGTTTCACCATAACATCTAGAGGGGCGCTGTTTGTTTCACTCTTTGTAAAATACTCAATGAGAATGGGGGAGAGACGGGCCGGCAGCAACACACAGCAAAGGAGAATTATCGAAACAAAACAAAGTGTTTTTATTTATTTATTTAAATTATAACTACAATCCGAAAAAACAAGGGAAGCCTGGCTTCCCTTGGCCTCCGGGAGAAAACGCCACTGACGCCAAGGCGATCATACTGTCCAAATCCGGCGGAAGATCAAGAGGAACAAGAAGATCCCGCACACAGTCACTGAGTCCGCTGAAAAACATATCGTATAGTGCGTCTTCATTCCAACCACTGTCCGTGGCCAAAGTACGAAAATCAATGGCGTAGTCAGACACACTCTGATTCTGCTGGGAGATCTGTGTCAGGGCTCTGGCAGCTTCTCTCCCCGGTGTGGTTCGGTCAAAGATCTTTTTTATAGTCTCAGTGAATAGTTGGAGAGATTTACACACCGGAGACTCCCGTGCCCACTCCGCCGTAGCCCAGGCTTCCGCTCTTCCCGTGAGGTGGGACACAACGAACGCCACCTTGGCTAGATCACTGGGGAAAGCAGCAGGCTGGCAGGTAAAATGTAGGTCACACTACGTTAGGAATGGACTGCAGTTACCAGACTCGCCCGAAAACTTCGCTGGAGGAGCAAGACGAATCATGGAAGCTGGCATGGAAAAAACAGCTGTAGGCTCTGGGGCTGGGCAGCCACGTTGGAAGGAGCGGCAGGCACACTATCCAACCGTGTGAGTACATTATGGAGCTGTTCAGCCAGGTGATTAATTTGCGTTGTAACTACGCCACGAAACTCACTCTGGCTGCTAGTCAGGGTCATTACTCCCTGGTTTATGTCCTTCATTTCTTCCTCCTGTTGCCGCAGACGTTGAGCCTGAGAGCAGAGCGCTGCCCTCAGGGTTTGAGAGTCGGCTGAGTCCATTTGTTGGCCAGATCGTAATGTTACGACTGGAGCACACAAAAACTGATAGGACCCAAATGCACGACTCTAGACAAAAGATGATTCAAAAAAAGGTTTTACTGTGATGATAAAACAAGGTAATCCATTCACAAGGTTCAAAACGATCTGGCACTTGGCACAGGGAACACACAGAATATATACAAAAGCAAGGGACTCCACAGGTGCAAACAATAAGGGCGGGGCAGGTAATCAGGTCAGTGGACAAACAGGCAAGGTAGGAATCGAACTACCTGAAATGAGAAGGGAAATGACAAAGTAAAACAGGAAATGGCAGACACAGACTTGACAATATAGACTCACAGAGAAATAATACTAACAGATCTGACGAGACACAACAATAAGTTTTAGTCAATAATGTCAACCGTTGTGCTCTGTCCTGGAGATAAAGGTACTATGGATGTTTGTATTCTTAAATGCATCTTTCAATGTCCAATCAAATATTTAAGAAAAAAAAAATAGAATCCTGTACACACTAAAAAGCAGGTTACTTCAGATCAATGAATACTATGACAGCCAGCTGATATTTACACAAGCATGCTTACACAATAGTGTTAACTTGGTACCACTTTACAATAAGACTACCCTTATAAACGGTTTACCAATAGTTTGTAATTCACTCCAAATTCCACTCAGCCGTTTATAAAGAGAAGCTGGAGGAGAAGGATGTCTCGCCTGTCCTAACGCCGGGAGACACTGTCCTCAGAATACCTCTTTGCCATTTTGAGCTGTAGGCCATATTTTTGCAGATGTGTTTATGTTTAGC